TGATTTGCTTTCAAACTTTAAATAATTGTGTGGCTGCTGAATGGAGGAGGAGGAGAGAGAAGATGTAAATGAAGCCCAAAGATTACACTGATTCAGAAAAAGCTGACAGCGGCTCTCACCAGGATAGTAGCATTGGGAAGAGCATCAGGTAGATTTATAGAATAAGTATATGAGGAAAAAATGTTAAGACTTGCCAACTGATCGTGAGGTGGAAATAAATAAGAATGGCAAGGACATTCCACGCTGAAACAAAAATATGATGTCAAAGTCAATTACATAGAGCCATGGTCAGCAAACTGAGGCTCGCGAGGCACATGCAGCTCTTTGGCCCCTGGAGTGTGACTCTTCCACAAAATACCACGGCCTGGGCGAGTCTATTTTGAAGAAGTGGTGTTAGACGTTTAAGTTTAAAAAAATGTGGCTCTCAAAAGAAATTTCAATTGTTGTACTGTTGATACTTGGCTCTGTTGACTTATGAGTTTGCCGACCACTGATTAGAGGTCGAGACACTCATATTTGAACTATCACCCAGATAGTCTTAACTTCATGCATCTCTATGGGTATATTTTATTGGTTAGGTTTTCCAGAAAAATGCGGAGCTGTTTTCACTCACGTTTCAGTATAATCATTTGTAGCAGTGTGGTACTGAATGTGCAGAAATAATGTTGTCAATCTACTGTAGTAGCCTAATTTATAGCAGTGCAAGGAATGGTAAAGGAAATGACAGATACATTTTGGAATATCAGTTTCAGAAACTGCACTATCAGCTGGATGTGTGCAGATGAAGGAGGAAAAGAAGAAACATGATTCTGAGGTTGCAAGCCTAAAGCCTGTGCAGCCTAAGGTTAATTGGGCCCTCATAATAATCTGCCTCCAAAGAAAACAGGACATGTACATTGGAGTCTCTGTGTATGTCTGTATCTGTGTGTTTCTGTGTTAGAAGAAAGATGATGAATGGAATCATTAATTTATCTTGGAATATGTACAGTTTGAAGCACCTGTCAAAAATCCACACTGCCATGCCCAACAGATAGTGTAATGTCAGCATGACACTTAGATCATCACAGGGCATTCAACTTTGGGAGATACAAGAATACATAGAGGTGATGATTAAACATTTGGGAATGGATAAAATAAAGAGGAACTCCATATTTATTTTTGAAGAATATTAATATTTAAAGAGAACTGAACAAAGAGCCAGCAACACAGTCCCTCAGTCACCAGAAAGGTTTCCATAGAAGGAAAGTTGTGTTTTACATAGGTAAGGGACTGGGGAATGCTTGTGTGTTTAACTGTTAGAGATAGACTTAATTAGATCTATTATTTTATACTAGTGGCCCCTTGCAGAAAGATTCCTGCAATAGGATTTCCTGCTGAGGTCTCTGCCCCACCTGCTTTCCTCCCTTCTCTCCCAGCCCTGCCTTCTTTCCTCCCTTCTCCGCTGCCCAGCTTGCTTCTACGCAGCTTCACTCCCTTCTGCAAGCTTGGCTTCTTTCTATGCTGTCTTGACATGCAAATTAACCACCATCTTGGTCGGGTTGATTTGCATACTCACCCTGATTGGCTGGTGGGTGTGGTTTTGTGTAGTGGATTGATGGTTAATTTGCATATTACTCTATTATTAGGTTAGATGTTATATTAGTGGTATGATGTTAGTGAAGGAGCTATATATATATATCTCCTTATATAAATTAATAAATAACAATAGCTCCTTATCATAATTAATACATTTTTATAAATGGGTCAATCAGTCCAAGAGCCTGAAAACAGCATAGAGGATTATCACAGTAGAATAGTAGCAAGAAGTCCTATCTGAGAGGAGTGCTTTGACCAGGTCCTGGGAAGATTTAAGGGTGTTTATAGGCCAAAGGGGAAAGAACTAATAGACAAAAACTTATTGTAGTGGAAAAAAAAAAGGAAAGAGATGGAATAATTAGTGCAGTATGGGGTGACGGTGAGGAGATATGTACTTTAAAGCAGTGGACAGGAGTCTGAAGTGAGAGAGAAAAAAATAAAAATTGAAGAGTAAAAGAATGAAAAGGAGTAGGGTGATAATCAACTCCATCTAGGACTCCATCTTAATGAATTAATCATTCTAATTTTCTCAGGTTATGTCAGTTTTTCTCAAAACTGGCTACATATTAGAGCTGCTTTGTTTTAGTAAATATAATCTCCCCAAATGACTCTACTATGAATGCTCAGATCAATATTTCTAAAAGTTCCTCAAGAAGAATTCTAGTCTTCAATTAAGTTTAAGAACCACTGATTTAAGAAAAGTTTAGGAATAGCATCTATGGAGTTTGGACTGGATAGTTGACTCTTGGTATTCTACAGAGTAGGGACTGGATAGTTAATTACTGCTATATTAAAATTGACATCTTTCAAATTTAAAAATTATATATCAAAATGTAGATATTTAGTAGTATAAAGCTTTAAAAAATTTTTGAGCATTTTTTTTAAAAAAAAACTAGCAATGGGTGAAATGAGACCTTAAGACAATAAAGCATGATGCCCATTGGTGTCATCTGTAAGATTTCACTGATGGACTACAAAATGGTATTTTATTCAGCATAAGATATTTTGCATAAACTGGAAAAAAATCATTCCCAAACAGAGCAATACTTTTCTCCTGCATACAAGATGTGCTAATAATCTGATTATACATCATTTCCAATTATGAAAGAACTGGTTTTAGGGCAGTGTTCCTCTAAGCGTGGTTTATAAGCCATATATATCAGAAACATACAAGATGTGCTAATAGCATACAAGATGTGCTAATAATCTGATTATACTTCATTTCCAATTATGAAAGAACTGGTTTTAGGGCAGTGTTCCTCTAAGCGTGGTTTATAAGCCATATATATCAGAAACACTGTTTCTCTTTACAATAACCAAGTATAAGAGATATAAAGTTAGAAGACCAATTTATAAGTGAGAACATTTAACAAGCACCTAGCTACTTCCTGTCCACTTCTTGTAGACCAGGAGAGCTACATAATAAGAAAATAGCAGATTCAAATAGCTATTTACTTATATCAGGTCAAGAGAGAGTCTCATGTATACATTGAAAATGGTAGATTAAAAATGACCTGATTATAATACTTAAAATCTGTTATCCAAGACTCTCTTTGCTAGAGAATTCTCACTGTTACCTTTATTTCTAAATTTTACTTTTTTGACATCATATCACTAACCAATTAGTAAACTAAATGATCTTCTATTGGGTTAACGGGGAAAGGCAGAGTTGATGATGGGTTAGCAGTAGGGGGAGCCCCGGAGCCTAGTTTGTGATTCTTTAAAAAGCATTTGCACATAACAGTTCGGCATCATTTTAGTTTGTTTTATGTTTTTTCTCTTTCTCAATGAGCAAACTTGTTTTTATGGCTCTCTCACTTGTTTACAATGTATCAGAAATAGCATTAAAATACTAATTATAAATCTTCATTTCTTGACATTAAATTTTAAAAAATCAGAAGTATATTAACACAAACAACAATCTGTCTTCATAATCTGTACACTTCAGGAAAATGTATAAAATCATCTTTTAAGGCAAGATTGTTTTATAAAGTAATACAAAAGGGAAATTAACTTTTGTAGACTACATATGCCAGAAATAAGCTTTTGATTCACTAAAGCAAACTTTTTTTGATACATTTCTACCACATAATTGCTATTGTTTTCTTATCCAGTTCCCCACTGGCAGTTTATCTGAATAAACTTACTTTTATTTCTAACTATGTTATTACAGAGACGAGTGGCCCAAAATTCATTTACTGGAGACAGAGGTCCCTCAGCCAGGCCTGAACCCTCTCGCAGTCCAGGACTCCTCGGGTGATGTCCACTTGCTGGCTTAGGTCCCATTCCCTAAGCCTAAAACAGGGGATCAGTCCTAAACCAGCAGTCAGACATCCTTCTTGCAGTCTGGGGCTCTAGTAATCTGGGACCCTGTACTCCTTACCGCCAGCCTGCAGCAGAGGTGGGAGAGGCTCCTGCCACTGCCACTGCCACTGCATCCACCAACCATGAGCCTGGCTTCTGGCTGATTGGCGCTCCCCCTGTTGAGGGGAGGGAGGAGCGTGCAGGCACAGCAGCTCCTGCATTGAGCATCTGCCCCCTGGTGGTATGTGTTATAGTGACTGGTAGTTCTGCCTTTTGTTCCACAGTGTGGTCAATTTGCATATTAGGGTTTTATTATATAGGAAGCACGAGAATCAGGTCTAATTCAATTAAGAACATGACAGTAATTGTCATTTCTTTATCTGTGTAAACTATAATTTTACTTCCTATGAGGGAGTGCCTCAATAAAGTGAAATGTATTTCTATGAGTCAATTAATGACTAGAAATACAGTAGTCCCCCTTTATCTGTAATGAATGTTTTAAGAACCCTAGCAGATGCCTGAAACCTCGGAGAATATGAAACTCTAATCAACTTCCTCAACTCTACTGGAAAGGTGGCCGCAGCTTCTTCATCTTCAGACACAGCCCCCCAGTAAGTTTTCTATTGTTTTCAGTCCAAAGTCATTCTAAGTAACCATCACTTCCTGGCAGGAAACGTATCATTTCTTGCTGAAGTCCTTGGGTAGACTCAAGGCTTTCTGGCTCAGCATGTTGCCATTAATGGGAAAAATGTTTTCTTTTCATGTCTACCAGCCACAATTTTATGCTTTTTTTCATCCTAAGTACTTATCACATCCTGGGTCTATAACTTTTGAAGTTTGAGGTGTGGTAATAAAACTAGTGAGGATTTCTTTTTCTTTCTTCACAAGCTCACAGCTAGAAGATTCATTCCTACCTAGACTTCAAGCTATCTGACAGTGAGTTTTTTTTTCTTTCCTTACTAAGTCAAGAACTTTCACCTTTTCTGGAAAAGCAGCACTGTATGGCATCTCTTTGGCATATTCAAATAACCCTTCTTGAGTGAATTTATTGGGTTACGTTGGTTAATATGCCTATGAACATAACTGCTTGACATATATCTTCAAATTATATGGGTAGTTACCTGTATGACACTATCCCCAGGACTCATGTCTGTATAAACGTAGACATTATAGGATACTTCAGGGAAGGTTGGAGTGTTATCATTTGCATCCAGCACCCGGATATTGACAACAACTGGCTGGCTTTCTTGCACACCATCAAAGGCTGTCATCTTTGGGGTAGAAAAAATACAATTAAGAGAGATGTTGGGCAAGCATAAGCAGTTCAGAATTCATTCTTATAAAGTATTCTATATGTAATTTACACGTTTAAAAGGACACTAATGTGTTTTGTCAATAAAAGAACTAAAGCTATAGTAGTACATATAATTAAAACATTTTAATGTGCTCAGAAGCAATTATAGAAGATTCTGTTTTAATTTCAATGTATTCAATGCCAAACTCCTTTTAAATAAGCCAATATGTAAAATGCTGTAGAGGCTTGAAGTGGGCCAATAACATGGCTGATTCATAGGAGTTAACTACTATTAATTTTTATGAAATTGATCAGAAAATAGTCTCCATTTTTACATATTTTGTATACAATATAATAGTTGCTTTTAATGCTAAAATGCTGATTATAAGTCAAGAAAGTAGGTGCCCTAGATTTGTAGAATCTCTTCATAAAATGGCAACTTTTGAAGGCACACTGACGTTAGCTAATAGTAATATCTTAATTACATAATTAACACTTTAAGAAGGTGAGATAAAAAAATAGGTTTTCTGGAAAAAAATGGGTTTTCTGAAAGCTCTAGTTTAAGTTCTCCTGCTGTATCCACTTCTCCAGAAAGAATCTAAAAAAACCAAACCAGTACTTTTCTATCAGATCATTTTCCTCTGGCAGCTTAACAAAATCTAGTTCAAAAATTTGGATGCACAGCTTTAATTGATTAACCTAACCTACGATTTCTCCATCTCAGTGGTACTGTTATTTTGAGTCAGATAATTCTTTATTGGGGGGTTGGAGATGCTGTCATGTGACCTGTAAGATCACTATAAGAAATGGCAGCATTCTTTCTTACCCACCAGATGCCAACAACACCCACTCACAACAGTGACAACCAGAAATGTCTCCGGACATGTCTAAATGTTCCCAGAAGGAAAGGAGGCAGTGCGATGGGGAGGGAGGTGCAAAGATTATCTCCAGTTGAGATCCACAGGCCTACCCCTATGGCAAAATTAAACATGCAAGAGCAAAGTATAACAGCCATAAAATAAAGTTTAGGGAAGAATTCCTTACTGGATTCTGGTTTATAATATCTCAATTGAAGTCAATCCTGAGAGTATGATGAAGGAAATGCCCATATATATTTTTTTTCATCTAAAAAATTAAAAATATTTGGAAAGCATAGTCATCTAAGCTAAACAAACTTATAAACTGAAAGAAATGTCCATGTGAAGTATGATATCCCCTATTGCATTACTTAAAGACATTCTAGATTTTTCTCTCAGGTAACGGACTTTTCAGCTTTACACAGACATTGTGTTCTGTTACATATGCAACTATACAATAGTCTCTTTACCGAGAAGATGTAGGTGTCTTGTTCTTCCCTGTCCACGGGCTGCAGTAAGGTGAGGAAGCGGGTGATGCCGGTGGGTGTGATGGTGAACACTGAGGTGTAGTCATTCAGGAAAAGGTGAACCTCTGGATCTTTTGTCTTTGGGGGGAAAAAAGGCCGATATTTAAATTATTGACCAATTGATACAGCTATGATTACCTGGAATATAATTTTTCAAGTTTATTACAAAATAAGTATAACCTTTTTGAGAATTTCTAAAGAAAAAAGAAAAAAGAGATTTAACTTAATATCTACTCATCACTAAGCCAAAAAGTCCAAATGACAATGATTTTGTAGAAAACACAGTAATAAGTACTAGTAAAATTAATGTGAATAAAAAGAAAAAATTGTAAAAAGGAGGATAAAGTAGAAAACAATCCAATTGAATATAGTCTTATTGCTTACTTAATGTTAATAATTTTCAGAACTTCACTGGGCTAAAAACAAAAACAAAAACAAAAAAACAAAGAACTGCAAAAAAAGGAAAATGAAGCAGTGTTTTAGCTGTACATATGCATATTATTATACTGTTCCTATATGTAATGTAAAATAAAATTAGTTATGTATAATTTATTATCTATAAATATCATACTTGTTCTATTTAATGCTGCAAGGATTCTCTGAGGGGAAACATGCCTATTGTAATTAACATATTCCAGATGATTAGATTGAAAATGTATGGATTTACAGCATGTGTCTGATAAAAAAAAAGTCTAGGAAAAAATAACTACATAAAGAGGAAGTGATTGCAAAAGTTCAAAAGGAAGATCATTAACTACCAGTAAGAACTGGAAATCCTTCACAATCTGATTGCCATCCCAGATATGCAAGGCATCAAGGTCTGCAGTGCAGAGCAAGAACAGAGATGTGGAGTAGGAGCTTGGGATTGGTGTCTGCATAGTGGAATAGGAGGGCAGGTGGGCAGGTGCAAGGGGAGTACTGTGAGAGTGGGCTTATCAAGAAGGCTATAAAAACAGCAAAAAAGGATGCAGAAAGGTAAGGTGTTTTTATAGAGCATGGCAACTTTTAAAATTTTATGCATAGTATAATAATGTGAAATCTAATTTAATGTCATAGATTGCTTTTCTAACTCTGGTATCAAGGGCTAAGGGCACAGTAGTGAGCTTGGAATCATTAAATACATGCTAATTTTAAAAAAATAGGACTCACATTAAAAAATTCTATGTAGAAATGAGTAGTTGAAATGCACAATGCACATTAAAAAAGTGTGCATAATTTAATCTACAATATATTTTATATATCTTAAATTTAATATGTATTTATTTCAAATAGCTTTGAAATGAATGGTTTTATTTGAATCTGATACAAACTGTATATTCATAATATCTCATAACAAGCTGTTACTTAGATATATCATGGTAGCTTCTTTGTTAATGATTTTGATATAGGGTCTGGATGCTACATTTATTCTAGAATAAAATAAATTAATTCTACAGAAAATTTCCATTGGTCTAGTTATAAAATAATAAGTTGTTGAGAGATGTAAAAAGTTAAGAAAATTTATACTGATACTTTCACATAAGCACTTCCTTGTTTTTATTACAATGTCACGACTCAAATAGCACAGCATGGACTGAAAGTGGGGTATTTTAATTAATCAAATATGTCAGCTAACAAATTTTTATTTAGACAATGAAGCAATTTATTTACAAATAAACAATTTGAATTATATTTTGAGGATTCTTATTGTGTTATACTTTAATCAATCATAACATTTAAATTATATTTTAAAAATCAAAACTATTAGCATGCAGTTTCAATTAATAGAAATTAAATAATTATGAGTGCCATATTCTTTAGTGTTTATTCTTAGTTTATTCTTAATTTTATGTAATTACAAGGTTTTCAAATTAACAGTGTGTGTTTTTTTGTTTTTGTTTTTTTTTTCTATCTCTGCACGTAGGAACAATTGTGTCCATGAACACAGTGAGGACAGAGCACGTATTACTATGTGACTTGCTTACCAAATATTCATTCCTTTCCCTTTTTTAAATCCTCAGTCACTCTCTCCTTTATGACTAATCCTTTCTCAATGAATTTTCATCCTTCCACTGTAGCTTTTGTTAGTAAATTTGTTAGATACATTAATTCAAATACTGACCCTGTATTTTAAGCATTTGAGATATTATGCTAAGGCAATACTGCAATGAGTGTTGAGTTGTGAACCATTGTATATGTATAAGTCTAGTGCAACATGGTGTGTGAAAATAAGACCGCGCATTGCACTGATTTTATGAAAGCCACAGTGTTTCTTTGTCAAATGCTTCCCATTTGAAGATGAAATAAACAACAGGACTTCATAAACAGACTCTCTCATAATTGATAACCAGAAACGTTAAAGACTTTGATAATTTAATTGTCTCCATTTCTTGGATCATTTTATAATAACTAGCTTGAGACTAAAATAGCATTTCCCAGAACTGCAGCTTACTCGTTTTATGTAGAGAAGTATTGTACAAAGTATATTTAGTATATAATAATCTATTCTGCATAGTTCATCTCTGATTAAAATATAGCTTTTGATTTTTATAAATATTTAAAATAGTAACTTTTATCTATATATTGCATACATAGATGGTACTGGTTAGTATCTCTGTATTTCTTTAAGTACAAAACTTAAGAAGAAAGCAGATTGGGAAATGTTCAACCAATTATCACTCAAATTTAATATTTTAGATTTATTTGTAAAGATAATGCTAGTTTAAGTGTAAATCCATATGTTATGAGTGTAAATCCACAGATAATGCTCTGGCTTAATATTCTGATGGGGTTAGTGAATTTTATGCGGTCCTGTGTCTATTATTTTATTTAAAATAAATATTAATTTTTCTAACTCAGTATGTGCACAGAAGGCTAATAAATGTTCTTCCTCATGACATAAGATAATACTATTTTGCTCTAAAAGTATACATTCAATATACACTAAAAGTATGACATATTACTTCAGTCATTTGTGTATTATTTTCTGGAGGATAAAAGATCTCATATTACCTCACAGCCAAAAAATATAAATAAAAAAGTAAACATACCTACATTGGAATTATAAACAAAGATATGAGTGTAGAAAATTTTAAATTTAGTCATATAGAGTAGAAGACATATGTTCAAATATGGAAAGACCATCGCATTTGAAATCAATGGGCACCAAAATATATCCCATACACACACAAGATCATATGCATCCTCATATATATGCACATGCAACACAGAAACATATATATGTATATACACATGCATACTTATATACACACATAAGTTACAAAGCATAATATACAAAAATGACAACAATTTTATCTCATCTGCAATTCGAATCAATTGGTAGTAATTTTCTGAAGTTCCTTGTTAAAAAGGGTTTGACCCCAACCTTACAACATTTCAGAAAGAATGCAGTGATGAATTATCAGTGATGAATTATCAAGGTTTGTCATGGACTAAAAGATCATTTAATAATTAAACAATCTTTAAGTCACTTGCAATTTGGATTCTACACAATTTCCTAGTACCATAAGTATAATATAATAGAAACATATTTAATTTAAACCTATATGCATATATATTTAAAATAGTTATAGACATTTTTGTAGGTGATAACAAGTAGTTGTCTACTTGTTTTAACTGAACGGAAAAAGAACAAGAAATCAAACCACAGCAATTAACAAAAGAACAAACACAAAATCAACACCTAGTACCTACAGGAACTCCACCAGGGGGAACCTATGTGCAAATTAAATATGAAATAGAAAATGTAAATATAAATGACCACAAACAGAGATATGGCATACAGGGGTATACTAATAAAACAAAAAAAAAACAAATAAAACACCTTTTCTAGTTAGTACATTTAAATAACAAGTTTTTCCAAGGAATATTTTATTCCTTAGTTCTGGAAAACCCCCACAATATAACATACATGATAACAGTAATATTTTTAAAACATATAAGTACATTATATCTTTAACACTGTGGTGTATTAGATTTCAAAGATACTTTTATTTTGAAATAACACTATAAATAAGGAGGTGAATTGACATGGAATTATAAGTGAATCTACAAGGGTAACCTCTTTTTATTACTATTCCCTGTTATTTTTTTTATAACCAAAATTAAATAATCAACTTTCAATGGTTCTGCCCCTGGAAACTTGGTGGTCGCAGACATGACTTAAAAATCTTGTGCATTACCGTTATACCTATATTCTAGACTATTTTAAAAGTGTCAAGAGTACTTAAAATATTTAATTATGATTCTTAGGTCTGTACATGTTTATATGTCTAATATCTGTAGAAAAGAAGTATTAGTAAAAACATTTTGTTCACTTTTTTCATTTTCACGGTGACCCTTCTGACTCAAAATATATGCAGTGAATAACTCAATTTATCAATCTGTTACTTTTTCTTAAAACTGTGTCTTTCCACACATTTGAAGAAAGGAGCAGCACTTAATTTTTGGACAAATAAATCCAAGTCTGTGCTTGGCATTTGTCTTTAGGCATGGCTGCTCTTGAATAATTTAGGAGAACCGACTCCTGCTGTGAGGACTTTTCATGCTTGATGCTTACTCTCCATTTCCAATGCTGACACCTCTAAGAGGTGAACTGTCTCTGTCTATATCCTTAAACTTTATCCCTATTTTGATTAATTTTACTAATTCTGACTTAAAATCAGCAAGATTTTACCATAGATAAATTCTTGCCTATGAATGACAAACGCCTTGAAGTTTCATTTTGTTAATTGATATCTTTAATCTCATACTCACAGTATTTTATTTTAAGATTTAGAGACTGTTTGACCTGGAAAAAGAAATGATTCGGAAGGGCATACATTTCAAACACATTAATGACCATTTTGTGGATTTATTCTGTGTGCTGACAAATGGAAGAGATAAGGGATAATGGATGAGTTACAAAGAGGCGGGTTTTAACTCTAAATAAAGAGCTTTCTAAGAATTAGTTGCCCAACCAAGGAATGGCCCTATTGTGAAACAATTAATCCTATATAATTAGAAATTTTGATGTAAATGTTAGATATACTCATCCTATAAGCTTATTTGAATTATAAATATAAAGAAACTCTATAGGATATTTTAAAAATCTTTGTCACTTTGGGATTAGATATACTTGCTTACTCTCTGGGCACACAAGTATTCACTGTAGGCGATTTTAGATAAAAGATGGGCTTAAATAAACAAGTGGCCAGATACACATTATTTAATTACTTGACTCTTTTAAACAACCTTTTAATCATGCTACTGTCCCTTTGCAGGGCAGCATATAAGAACATTTTCTCTCCAAGCCCACCCCCACCAGCCCAAAATGAAGGAAAAGGCCAAGGAAGCAGTGATTGCAACCATATACCTTTTGGTGATTGGATAAAATGGGGGAATTGGTGATCATGAGTCTCTCAGTATCACACAGCTATGATAGTAAAACCAGAAATCAGACCCAGGGTTGACTAACTTGAGAATCCAAACTCCTAAGGACCACAACATGCTGCCCCACCCTTTGGTAACAGCTCACAGGAGTTATGAGCATAAGGGGCATTAAACCCAGCAGAAGTCAGGGTGCTGTTTTCTAAAGGTTTTAGACCCAGGAGTTTCCCCACCACACCTCAGCCACACCTTGCTTTTCTTTATAATGCCCCTTAGAACACAATGTTAACATTTTTTTTTTCTAGGAGAAAATAAATCTGAAAGGGTCCTCTTTTTTACTAAACTGATGAGAAGCTCCATGTAATGAGATTTCAGGGAAAATTAAGACCTGTCCTGTCCAGTAGGGTAGCCAGAGAACATTTCATCATCACAAAAGTTCTATGGGACAACACAACTGGAGAGGGATAAAGTGCCGACCAGGAATTTTTTGAGTTGTAAGTGACAAATCAAATGTACAGTATGTCTTTAAAAAAAAAAAAAAGATACACTGGAAAATGCTGTAGCAGTCACAAAATCAAAGAAAAATCTTTAGGCTTAGTATAGCTTTGGGGAAATGATAGCTTAAAAAAAAAAAAAAAAAAAAAAAAAAAAAAAAAAAAAAAAAAAACAGAAACCCAATAGGACTCTGTCAGGCTACATTCTTTCTCAGGATCCAGCTTTTCTCTGTGACGTCAGCAAGCATGGCTCCAATGGCTTCAGGTTCCTTCTTTTTTTGTTGTTTTTTAAAAATATATTTTATTGATTCTTTTTTTAAATTATATTTTATTGTTTTTCTTTTATAGAGATGAAGGGAGAGGGACAGAGAGTTAGAAACATTGATCAGCTGCCTCCTGCACACACCCTACTGGGGATGTGCCCACAACCAAGGTACATGCCCTTGACCAGAATCAAACCTGGGACCCTTCAGTCTGTAGGCCAACACTCTATCCACTGAGCCAAACCAGTTAGGACTATTGATTCTTTACAGAGAGGAAGGGAGATGGATAGAGAGTAAGAAACATCAATGAGAGAGAAACAATGATCAGCTGCCTCCTGCACACTCCCCACTGGGGATGTGCCTGCAACCAAGGTGCATGCCCTTGACCTGAATCAAACCTGGGACCCTTGAGTCCGCAGGCTGATGCTCTATCCACTGAGCAAAACAGGTTAGGTCTTATTCACACTTCTTTAATGCTAAGTCTTCCAGATTCTCCTTCGCCTTTTTTTTTTTTTTTTTTTTTTTGTCTTCCATTTTTTGGGAAGACTCTGACTGGCATGGTATAGATTTCCTGTCCACCATTCAAAGCAATTACTCTGTCTACAGAGGCAAAATACTATGATCTACCCAGTCAGGACCATTTCCCACTTATGTGGCTAGAATCAGTGACAGAAAAACAGAAGGCAATGATGAGTGCCGTGGAGTGGAGTTAGCATCACAGTTACTGACGAGTTAGCATCACAGTTACTGACGGAAGTGTAAGCAAGTCAGCTGCCTCAAATGCTTTAAAAAAAATAAAAACAACATACTATCAGAGAAATCCCCCAAATCCCATCCTGGGGCTGCCAGCATGATGATTTTTATTTTTACATTTTTAAAATTAAATTATTATCTGTGTACATATTTTAACATTGCCCCCCCCCTCTCATACATACCCTCCCTCCCCAGAGTTTTGTGTCCATTGGTTGTACTTATATGCATGGCAGCATGATGTTTTCATGCTCATTGCATAATGCCATTATTTTCCCCTAACAGCAATTATGCAACTTGTTTTAACCCATATGAATAGATAAGTGTGCCCTGATAATTTAGCAAACTACTGAAGAAACATTCATTTTCTTCCTTATACTGAAAATCTGTAAACTGAGAAAAAACAGCTGCTGAATTAAACATACCTGTTGACTCATCTTTGATGTAGAATTAAATGACAATAATAAGACTCTCATTTGTATTTTCCCTCTATTCTATAGCTCATATAACCAGGTTTTTATAACATTCCTCATTGACATAAGTATAACAAAAGACATGTTAACAAAATGAGCAACATTTATATTTAACTTACATCTTCTATGTCCTTGTCTAGAACCACAATCCTTAGAGGGGTGGTCAGATTTACACTGTCAGAAATAGTCGATCCCACGGGGGCAGATTCTAGGATGTAGCCTTGATAACTGGGCATTGTGAAATATGGGCTCTGATTGTTTTCATCCAGTATTTCTATGTGCAGACTGGCAAAGGCAGGGAGCGGGTGGCCATTGTCCTGTTCAGCCTGGAAAAGAATAAAAACAGGTTTAAAAATTCTAAGTTATAAGGTCCTTCTGAGTGTCACTTTTTATATCATATATGGGGAATCGCTTTTGAACTGATATCAGTATGGAAAGAAGAAATGCTTCAAAAGTAAGAGGGACTTAGAAAACATAGATGAGGAAATGGTTTCATCAATTTTTTTTATCTTTTGTCATCAAAAGCAGTGTATATTTTTTAAAAAATAATAACTATAAGCATGGCAATAATTGCAGCTTCTCACAAGATAGTGTTAGGAGATAACTACTTACATGCACTTAGACATAAAATTGAGAAGTGAAGATATTTCAGTAAATTGCTGATGAAATATTTAAGTATAAGACAAAAATGATTCATTACTCAAAGTATGATACTTATTTTTATCTCTTCCATGTCTTCTCATTCCACACTAATGATTAAGTCCCCAAATAATTCATAATTCTATATAAAATTAATATATTTAGGCCTTATTTGAGCTCTCAAAAGGATCACAAAGGAAACAAAGATAACTTTAATAAAATATTTTAATAACTGTAGAATTTCAATTATATTTAACTAGAAATGTTATTCAAGTTAAATTAATATTTATGTATTCGAAATATATTTTATTGTATTTTTTTCTGTTTAGTTTTTTTTTAAATGATGACAATTTATATTTCAAATAAATTTTCCTAGGAAATCTCCATTTAGTCATGTTTTGAGTGGGAAATACCAACCTTTGTTATTCTTTAAAAAAATGTATATTACTATACAGCAATCCAAAGTTTTTTTTTTTAAGGGAAGATTTTATTACAATTGCCTTCAAACTTTAGAAGAAATCATTGCAATAATTCAATAGTATGCAAATTTACTGAAATAGATTCAAAGTATTTTTCATAAACTTTTATTGCTGTTTTCTCAATTTTTGCAATAGCTGTATTTTGAAATCAACTCAATTTAAAAGTTAAATCCTTTATCCTTTATATTAAATCCTGGAGTGCTTTCCTAAGTTAAATAGTGACATTTTGGTCATAGAAGTTTATAAGTAGCACAGATAGATAGCTTTGATTATCCAATCCAGAGCCAAGAGCAAGGTCTCCAGAAGATAATTTTGCACTTTCTTTTCATTGCACTTAGCTTTTTCATCACTCAAGAGGGTAGGTAAAAATCATAGTGGTGTTTGAAAGTACTGGTGACTTTGTACCAAGAAAAATCACAACATTATCACTTCACATTATATATTGAAGATATACTTTGCAATATAAATTTATGCATATAATAATTTGAAATTATGGTAATTATTAAACCCATTGTGAAATAGTGTGATATAAAGCATTGCAAAAAAAATGACTGTTTGATTTGTAGTATTTTGATAACTCTATTTCAATATATTAGATTTCCATTTTAAGGTTATATAGTTTATTCATTTAAATTTTCACTTGGCAGCAGATTGCCAAATGGTCCAGGGCACAAAAAGTTTACGAGATCTGCACTAAGGACAACCATACCGAAATAATGTGTAGTCTTTTCTAGAATCATTCATTCTTCTTCACACATAACCCTATTGCTCCTGACCACATACATATGGATATGCTCTTTCCACATCCAGGGGCTGTGATTAATGTGTGCATGGGAGGTCTTTTGGGAATACCCTCTGTGACATACAACAGGCCTTTGAACACAGCTAACAGGACAAGAGATAGAGTCTATGCCTAGAAAATATCCCTTTTACAGTAAATGAAATTAATCGGTCCATATGAGTTTCCAACCCAATGACCTTAGTTTGCTTAAAAAAGGATCAGTTCATATGCAGATCCTTCAGGACAGGACATTTTTTTTCTCTATCTCTTTATTTTGTTTCTAGTCTACAAGCCATTATCTCATATCCTGGATATATGAATACTGCTATGGAAAATAACAGAATTTATCACTTGTCTGCTTCACTCAATAAACACACACAAACACAATGTGTGAATGGTGAGGGGAAAGCAGAAAATGTTCTATAACATGAAAGAGGCTTATATTTTTACAGTCAGCGCATACTAATATGCTTTTTTGTTTTGTTTTTGTTTTTACAGTCAGCTCATGTGTTGTTAATTTTTACTGCCAGCTGCGAAGCCAAAACAAAAACAATAACAACAAAAAACCCATATATTATTTACATGATGAGTACAAGTCAATAAAACAGGAATAAAAATTCAAATTAGGTCTATGAAAATAATCTAATTCCCCTTATTTTTAAAACCACCATAATGAAAGCTCTGTTTGTTACTGCCCTAACTCTGTGGTCAGCAAACTGCAGCTCATGAGCCACATGTGGCTCTTTGGCCTCTTGAATGTGGCTCTTCCATAAAATACCACGGCCTGGGTGAGTCTATTTTGAAGAAGTGGTATTAGAAGAAATTTAAGTTTAAAAAATTTGGCTCTCAAAAGCAATTTCAATTGTACTGTTGCTATTTGGCTCTATTGACTAATGAGTTTGCCAACCACTGGCCTAATGTTAGTTTGTTGTTAATATGCTAATATTCTTGGTTTCCTTTTACATGATTTGTCCTATAATATGTTAGGTATTTCAGCAGTGCTCATGAGATGTCTGTCTGCAAAGTCCACAGTCTTAATTCACCCCTATGCCTTTTGCCTCTCTAAATGTGAAAACACACTGTTGTTATGATGGAGAAGCAAAGAGTGGGTTTTATGGTCAAGGTCCCACCGTCTGTAAGTAAGTGAAAGGTACGGGCCCAGACACAGGTGTCCTGAGTTATGACACCGATACAGGGAGATTCTCCACACATTTCTCCAGTTTAGAGAATATAAATGAATGTAAGACAATGTAATGTAAGACAATGTAAGACAATGTAAGACAATGGGCGAGATTAGTGGTAGTAAAAATATTAATCACATAGATACTCCAGATTGAATTAGAGTTTAAATGTGGCGCTTAAAACAAGTTAATACCATTATACTTTGCTTTTTAATGGCTCCATGCATCAAATCTTTCATTAATACTCCTCTCCTATGTAATGTAAATAGGAATTCATAAAAATCTAAGTTAATTTGTTCTGCTGTAACCACGAGTGTGTGAGGTGAGTTTAAAAAAGCAGGTCAAGTGAAGCGAGGTGGTATTTAAAAAAATAATTTCATCCTATAACATTATTTATGTCTATAAAGCCTGCAGTTACAAATTAAATAGATTTAAAAGCCAGCTTTTGTTTGGAGAATTTCTGGGCATGAGTCCCATTTTCAGTAAAATAAGACCAAAGTGAAACTTAAGCCAAACAAGCAGAAGAATAAAAATTACACTACATGGTTACTGTGGAGGGAAAGCATTGAAAGAGACAAACCACTCAATTTTCAACATTAAAGCAAGTGATAATAATAATCTCTTAGCTCCAGAGGACAGAATAACTTCTTTTTTTTTTCCTGCTGGCTTGGCAAGCAACTTAAATTTCACAATATCTAATATGAGGTCTGTCAAGTAGATATAATAATTGGGGTGGGAGGAAATGAGACAGATTGAGATATTTAAGTAAATTCTAGGAGAAAAGAAAGAAATCACTTTTTCCTAGAAAGTCAGAGTTTTATTTATTGTGCATCTATGTGCCTATATTTTTCATCTCATGTTGTCTATTCTCCTGCTCCACAATTTTTCCTAAGTCAACTTCAGTCGGGCTATCACCCCCACCACTCAAACACGGCTGTTCTTGTCAAAATCACCAGTGATTCCTACATTGCTGAAGCAACATTTACTTCCAAACCTTATCTTACTTGCCCTGCATATAAACCTTGATTCAGTAGGCTTTTAGGACAACATTTTCTCTTGCTTTTCTTTCTACATTATTTATGTTTTTCTTTTCATTTTCAAGTGGTGCATTTTACTCTTTCTTACCCAATTCTTAAAGTCAGGTTCTGGCAGTCTTCTCTTCTCAGGGCCTTAAAAATGTTAGTAACAACTTTCAATTTATACCTCCAGCCTGAACCTCTCCTCTGAACTCCAAAATCTATATCCAACTGAGAACATAGCATCTCTGCTTAGATATCTAATGAACATTTCAAATAGAACCTCCGTGAAAATGCGATTCTCCTTTTCCCCCTCACAAACCTGCTCCACAGTCTTCCCACTCGATAGCAGCTCTGTTCTTTCACACTTGCTCAAGCCAAGAACCCAGAGGTCACCTGCACTCCTTGCTTCTTTTCAAACCTCACGTGTAACTAAGAAAAACTCTTTATTGATGATAACTTTGAAATATATGTGGGATTTCACTACTCACCTCTTCCACCGTCACCATCTTGATCTCACCTATTATCATTTTCACCTGGATCATTTTAATTTACCTGTAGCCTGTTCCCTGATTGCATTTAGTGTTTTGATTACACGGTAGCCAGGTTATTTTACTTATTTCATTAAAACCCTTCAACAATGTCCAACTCTTCTCAGGCCCTAAGGCTCTGATCTATTACTTCTTTTATCATATGACTCTTCACACTCAATACTCTGTGTCCTTTTCCTGGACACCACATCCCTTGCTATCAGTAAAGCTTTCCACATATAAAGGAAGAAATGTCTCAAGGTTGCCTTTCCTAGCTAATAGCAGGCTGCTTATCTGACTCTGAAATAGTGGCAGGTCTATCCAGCTACCCAGGGGTCATGCAGATCCCCCGATCCTTTGTCTGCAATTCAAAATTGAACTCTCAAATAGAAATGAAATATTTGGTTTGGAGATTTTGACTGAGTGGCTAAATTTTCACTTCCATTTTATCTTTTTTTTTTTAAATTGATTTCAGAGAAAGGAAGGAAGAGGGAGGGAGAGAGGGGGGGGGAGAGAGAGAGAGAGAGAGAGAGAGAGAGAGAGAGAGAGAGAGAGAGAGAGAGAGAGAGAGAGAAATATCAATGGTGAAATAATCATTTGTTGGCTGCCTCTTGCACGTCTCCCACTGGGGATCAAGCCCAAAACCCACAGATGTGCCCCTGGCTAGAATCAAACCCAGGACCCTTTAGTCTGCAGATCA